GGTATATGCGCATGCCATGTGTTGATTGGTAAAGACCTGGGGTATGTTTGCATGCCATGTGTTGATAGGCAATGGCCTGTGGTATGTGTGCATAGCATGTGTTGATTGGCATTGACCTGAGGTATGTGTGCATGCCATGTGTCGATTGGTAAAGACCTGGGGTATGTGTGTATGACATGTGTTGACAGGCAATGGCCTGGGGTATGTGTGCATGCCATGTGTTGAATGGCATTGACCTGGGGTATGTGTGCATGCCATGTGTTGATTGGTAATGACCTGGGGTATGTGTGTATACCATGTGTTGATTGGTAATGACCTGGGGTATGTGTGCATGCCATGTGTTGATTGGTATTGACCTGGGTTATGTGTGTATGACATGTGTAGATAGGCAATGGCCTGGGGTATGTGTGTATGCCATGTGTTGATTAGCAATGACCTGGGGTATGTGTGCATGCCATGTCTTTGTATGCACGTGGCTGTATAAGAGGCATAAGGTGATGTGCTTGAGCGTCTGTGAATGCCACGTGCATAATGCATGAGCGTCTTCTAGTGACATACATGTACAGGTCGCAGAACACTAGTCCTGTACTGCGATGCTATTTCGTCTGTGCTGTCTGACCTGACCTACAACAGAATACCAAGTGTTAGGGCCACATGTTTCTAGGGTTCTAAATCGGAATCAAATCGCATACCCTGCACAGATGCGCGTGTCTTGTTGTGCTTCGGTTCTCATGTCACGTGCATTGCCCACTGCAGCTACGACACGTCTGGGATTGCTGGAGTGGACCAGGAGGACCTGCCGGCTAACATGGCCACCATGGAGGTAGACGAACTCAAGGCTGTGTGCGCTAGCTACGGTGTCAAGTTCACCAAGAAAGCCACCAAGTCTCAGCTGATCAAGGTGTGTGTGTGTGTGGTGGTGTGTGTGGTGTTCTGGGTGGTGGGTGGGTGTGTGTGTGTGTGTGCATGTGTGTGTGTGTGTGTGTGTGTTCGGTACCAGCCGTTGTTGAAAGTCTAGTTCGCTGTGGTTTGTGTGTCACGAATGGTGAGAATGGCACCCTCCCCCGAGTTCCGGGTGCGTATGTACTGGTCACTTGAACCAATACCATGCACTGCAGTGATTAACGTTCAACAGTGCATATGTGGCTTTAATCTGGAGTGGTATATGCAACCCTTCATGAAAGATCAGCTGGCTATAACGCCACATCCAAACTCTGACACTAACGTTAAGGCTGTTCAATCTTTCTGAACAATCGCTCGGCAGCAAATCGAACTCGCACGGTACAAAAACGACAAGCAGATGAAGCTCATGCTCACCAACAAGAACGCAGATGGCACACTACGCCTCACCGCAGCAGACGACAACAAGACATCCACAGCCACAGCCAAAGCTAAGGCCAAAGCACCCGCGAAGAAGAGCCAGGCCAAGCGAAAACGTAAGATTGTGCATGAGGATGGCAGTGAGAGCGACAGCAGTGGCAACGAAGACTGGGTGCCGCAGGAAGAGAACTGAGTGGTGTCGCGAGAGTGTGCTTGGGCGTTCACTTGGTCTGGCGATGCACTGGGGAGAGTGTATTGCGTTAAACGTCTAATGAATGCGATGGAGGGTGGACGGTGGAGGGTGGCCTCAGCACAGTGTTTTATCATTAAACGCTGTATAGGTGTGGGAGATCTAAACAATCAATGCACATGGTAGAATGCCATCGACACCGCCTCATTATGATGAATGGCTTGTAGTTACCAGAGTCATATAGTAAACCGTTATACATTGTCATTTGAAGTCTTGGGAAAATTGGAAACTGTTGATCATACAATAACAGCTTGGGCACGTCTAAGAGCGGGTGTCACTTCAATGCATTTTAAACGTGTACATACAGTATATGTATATATATATATATATATATATATATATATATATATATATATATATATATATATATATATATATATATATATACGTATATATATATATATATATATATATATATATATAT